CATTAATTCGCTTGCACTTATGGGTCTTTAGCGGTGGGAGGAAACCGGAGGACACGGAGAAAACCCACGAGGTTGGACAGGCGACCCTACTCCTTGTCACGCACAACCGGTCCGGGAAATCGAAACCACGGCAGTTGGCTCATTGACAGACCTTATGATACAACGCGCACGAGAAGAGTTCGAATATAGCAATCAATGGGGTACAAAGAATCACCAATTTTTCTAGAATCTTGTTATTCATTCCGCACTGTCATTGAACTCGCAAATCCATGTAATAACTTTGTCGTCGATACAATTAATCGGGGAGTCACGGTGGCTCAGTGAGTAAGACGTTGGCTAGCTAACCTTGAGGTCAGGTATTCGATTCCTGCGTTGTACGAGAAAGTTCATTGGGATTCCCCTGCTTGGTTTCCCCTCGTCAGTGGTGCAGGACAGAGATAACGTATAGTAGCTCGGGTACGAAAAACCGAGATCCCGTGTACACATTGGTGTGCACGTAAAAGATCCTATAGCAGTATAAATTCGATATAAGAGTAGGCCGTATCTTTGCTGTTTATAAGCTCAACGGGAGTAGAACAGTAGGACGCTGAACACCATTTCATTTCATTTATAAAACTAATCGGGTCGAACTGACCAGGATACGAAATTTTTTTCACTGGACCAAATAGCGAGGATCCACAGGCAGGCTAGCAGTGATCGTGACAATTCTCTTTATCAATCGGGATATTGAAACTGTGTAGGTTGAAGCATCATCACTTATCTGCCGTTTCCCATCAATAGTGAAACGAATGGCAATATTAAGTATCACACTGACGAAAGTTGACGATAATTAATCAAACAGCCAATCTACTACAGATAGCGAGAGAGAGAGAGAGAGAGAGAGAGAGAGAGATGGGGTTTAACGTATACTCGGCACAAACTAGGTCATTTCCGGACTAACATATGGTTTAATTTTATTTCAATAATTCGCTTGCGCATAGGGGACTTTAGCAGTGGGGGGAAACCGGAGGACCCGGAGAAAACCCACGAGGTTGGACCGGCTACCCTACTCCTTGTCACATACAACCGGGGATTCGAAACCACGCTAGTCGACTCAATGACAGACTTTATGATACAGCGCGCGCACGCTAACCATTCAGCCATCCAACCCCCAACTACAGATAGCCTTCTTCGAGATCCAGTCCTTGTGGTGTGCTGGGGATCACGGTGGCTAAGTGGGTAAGACGGTGACTCGCTAGCCTGAAGGTCGGGTGTTCGATCCATGCATTGGCCGAGCAAGTTCATCCAGATTTTCCGGCGTGGTTCCACCTTGTCAGTGATGCAGGACGGAGGGCCTGACAAGTCATTCGGATGGGACGAAAAACCGAGGTTCCGTGTACACTGTACACATTGGCGTGCACATATACTATTCAAAAAAAGTAGGGGATATTTGATTTTGGGGGCATAATACTAAAATATGCAAATGACTACGAAAAAAGTCACTATAGAACCTAACAGAAGAAACATTTCCAGTTACATGTGACGCCCAAACGCACCAATAGCTACCGCATGGAATGCAGGTGATGCTTGGGATCATCATGGGGGTCCAACCCAAGATTTGCACGACTCTGACTTTGAATGTTACAGTCATTGTGGCATTGAATTCCAGGGTGGAAACATCAGTTTAATTGTTTTAGTGACCAGAAAACAAATTTTGATATGCGTCGGCTTACCCAAAATGAAAGGTTACGTGCCCTTGGCATGCTACAGATCGGCACAACACCGGCGGTTGTGGCGCGGACGATGAATGTTTCTCAGTCTGTCATAAGCAGGCTATGGTCCAGATACCGTGATACACAATCTGTACAGGACAGACCACGCTCAGGTCGACCAAGGGCGACAACTCAAGCCCAGGATCGATTTATCCGTACCTTGGCCTTGAGAAATCGTGTCATCACAGCAAATCAGATCAGCGCTCGTCTTCAAACAGACACTGGTGTGAGAGTGAGTGGCCAGACGATTCGGAATCGACTGCATAGGGGTCACCTTCGCGCTCGACGTCCTCGCGTGATCCCTTGATTGAGAGATCATCACATTCAGGCAAGACGTCGTTGGTGTAGGGATCGTCAACACTGGGATAATCGACGCTGGAGCAATGTGATGTTTTCAGATGAGTCAAGGTTCACTGTTGATTTTTTGGACAGACGTAGGAGGGTGTGGCGTCGTCGAAACGAGCGCTTCCAAGACGTTAACGTCATCAGACATGATCGATTTGGGGGTGGTTCTGTTATGGTGTGGGGAGGCATCACTGTTGCTGGAAGAACGGCTTTACATGTTGTTGCAGGGCGTGTTACAGGCCAGTACTACCGGGACAACCTCTTGGCAGTCCATGTTGTGCCGTTCGCACGACGTCATGGCCGCCGTTTCATCTTCCAGGATGACAACGCAAGATGTCACAGGGCCAGGATCGTTACAGGTTACCTCCAACAACAGAACATCACCACATTACCTTGGCCAGCACTGAGTCCCGATCTCTCCCCATCGAGCATGTCTGGGACATGCTTGGACAGAGGTTACGTCAACGTCAACAACGTCCTGCCAATGTCCAAGAACTTGCTGCTGCGTTGCAACAGGAATGGGACAATCTGGACCAAAATGACCTTAGACGTCTCATTAGGAGTATGCCACGTCGGATCAATGCTTGTTTGGCAAACAGAGGAGGATTTACCCGTTACTGACTTGGTTGTGATGCTGTGGTAACTTTGCTGTTTGACCCCGGGTATCATTTTACCCTTATAATGGTCAGTCTGTGCCTTACTTAGTCTAACGATCATTTGGAATAAATCGATGAATGTGAACTTCATTTCATTTTGTCATTTGTTTCTTCGTCAGTTTCATTAGGTGACTTTAATAAGACTTAAAAATCAAATATCCCCTACTTTTTTTGAATAGTATATAAGATCTCTTGAAAGTTGGAATTTGATATGAGTAAGCCGTAGTAAGCCGTATATAGTGCCGCTGTCCGGGCAAAATTTCCCTCATAGCACACTGTATGGCGTATGCCCGTCTTCATTAGCCCAGTCGGAGCAGAACAGTAGGACGTTAAACCTCATTTCATTTGTGGTGTGCTATGGTGCCGGTGGTTTCATTCTCTCGCAACAGCCCCCCTCCCTCAGCATTTGCATGGCAATTATTGTTGACCCTTAGGTGTATAGTCGTGATTTGGGGTGGAAGGATAAGGTAGTAAACTGACATGAACTAACCAAATCGTCTACTAAAATGATATCACTGCCTATGAAAATATTGAAACGGTTACCCCCCTTTCTTAAACAATGAGACCATCCATCGGAATATTCAAAATAATGTTAGAAGTCAGGTAATGTTACGGATTTAACATTTAATTCAATGGCGAGAAAATCTGTAGTCTGGAGGCAGACCACCATTTTATTTCATAACGAATGTAGTTTGTTCCAATACTGTCAGGTTTTGGGTAAATATACGTGGTTTAGAGTCGGAAGGATAACATGTGATATATATGGCGGATAGCTTTTAGTTTATACTTCAAGTTTGTGTTTCTTAAAATTCCAGTGGTCAACCTAATATAAACTTTGGAGCAAAGACATGGCCATCTGTTCTGCATGTGCTGAAAACCGTTCAGCACAAAAATATGGAAAAGTTTGGAGCCGGGCAAAGAGACAGTCTGGAAGCAGACCACTATTAAATTTCACCGTCTCGTTAGCGACAAATTATATTTCATCTATTTATAGCAATTCTCTCTCTTTTCTCCCCTTTTGCTTGGCCATTTTTGTTGATTGTGTGGTCTAGAATAAAAAAGCGGGGTTTCAATTAACATTTTCTGTCAGGTTTTTGTAAATATTCAATATTTAGAAGAGGTTGGTTACGGTGATATGTACGGGAAAAGTTCCGTGCATTTTGAATGCTACTTTAAGTTTGTGTCTTCAAATCTTTGGTGGTCAACATCATACAAAATTAGATGCAAACCCATACCCATTTGTTTCTCTGTCTGTAGTGAAAAGTATTCGGCCCAACGAAAACTTGGGGGGGGGGGGAGTTGGAGCCGGGCAAAGAGCCAGAATTAACAATGGAGTCAATGGGAAAATAATGGTGGTCTGCGTCCTTCTTTCATATAATTAGGATTATCTCCCTTTTCATATAAAAATATTTCAGGCTACTGACTTTGGTGAATATTGTTACGATAATATAAATTTTGTCGAATTCCGTTAGCCGATATTTTAAGGCAACATCCTAGTCGACAAAAATCACTAAATGTGCTCTGAACTGCATCTAGTGTTTTTTCGGAACTTAAATTTATTTGTGAACTGTTTGTGTTGTTTTTGTGGCTTTGCATTTTTTAATGCCGATTGAATTCCAGGCGGTTCAATGGTATTCACATTCAGCGGACATCATAAATTACGTCGAGGGAGCCACCGTGGGTTACGGGTCCGATACTGATGTTGGTCAGGTTTCCCCTTGTCAGTAGGGTAGGGCGGGGGACTTGGCAAAGCAAATCAGACGAAAAACCAAGGTCTCATCGGCAACATGTTAATTTTATCCCCATTGCAGCGCCATTGTTCGGGCAAACTTTCCCTCGTAGCATACTGCATGACGTATGAAATGAAATGAAATGGGGTTTAACGTCTTACTGTTCTGCTCCGATTCAAATGTGTTCACTGGACCTCGGTTTTTCGTCCCATCCGAACTTCATAAGCCCAGAGGGAGCAGAACAGCAGGACGTTAAACTTGCTGCTGATCCAGTCCGCATTTCTGCATCAGATTAGATTTTAAAATGGAACGCCATCTTTGAATCAATCATGCGATTCGAGTAACATAAACATACTCGCGTTGTTCGTATCATCTTAGTAAAGCACGTTCTTATAATAGGGTATTTTTAAAAAAAAGTAATTAAAAATATGCTTTTATTTCAATATATATAAATATACATTATATACACAATATGTAAATTTCATAAATTAACAATATTTAAATAAATTAATGGTATGTGCAATAGTAACAAATGATATAAATGGGAAGACTAGACAAAGGTCTTGATGGGTGTATATAATTTATGAGTGAATTAATTTCTTTATGATTGGTAAAATAACAAAAAAAGTAAATCACTACGATAGTATACCCTGAGGACGATTGGGGCCTTAGGTGTAACGGGGGACACGAGTGGAATAAAATGTCCAAAGTCTTTGCTGGTGTTGGTTCCTGGACGTCCAGACAAATTTTTTAAAAAAAAAGTGCATCGCTTCTGCTCAAATTCAAAACGAATCGAAAACAAAACACGCCAAACACGCTGAAGCAGGATGTCTGGGGTTCGATTCCGGCGTGGGCCGAAAAAGTTCCCCTGGATATTTCAGTGTAGTTTCCCCTTGTCATTGATACAAGGCGGACGGACAAGCATCTAGTCTTACGGATGGGTCGTAAAAGCCAGATTAAGTGTTCGCCTTGGCATAGTGGCAAAGGATCCCTTGACAGAAGGAATTCAATTGCTGTCCGGGTAACATCCCTCCCCAACCCCATAGCACACTGTATGGCGTGTTCCCGTCTTCATTAGAAACGTTAGCTTAGTGCAGAAAAGTAGGACGTTAAACCCCATTTCATTCATTCATCAGACAATAAAACACACGATATACAGTTTGTTCTGAAAAAATGGTCCGTGTGCCAAATACCCTTCCTCAAAGGTGATCTATATTAAAACACATGCAGTAGATCGAAGGATGGGCTGAGATATTCTCCGAATATTATGTTGTTTAGATATTGAAAATTATTTTATCGCACGCGGGGGTTAATTAGTACAGCCACACAGGTCAATGGTAAATAAATTCCTACATTGATTTAACATTCCTCGCAAACATCTGCATTTGAGCGATATAGGATGTCCCCTAAAGTAATTTCGCCTAATTTGTTCGGGCATAGTGGGATCTTTTAGTTTTTATAACAGGCAGCAATATTGCTGCTTAGTACCTGAATCTCAAAATAGTATTCGTAAGTAGTATATTATAAGCAATAATCTAATAAATGAAATGAAATGGGGTTTAACTTGTCTGCATCGACTAGGCTGATGAAGACGGTACATCCAATAAAGGTGTCCATGTTCTAATAAAATGCGTTTTCCACTAGATAAGTCCCCGAGGGGTCAGCACGCTTATTTTATATAACTACAATTAAAGAAATAACGATATTTACATTGGCCTACATTTCAATCAATAGTATAATTAAAAATGGTAAATTGTTTTAAAAAATGAGCACCAATTTATCCCCAATACACGTTATAGTAATTAAAAAAATGTAAAAAAATGTTATTTAAATGTTGCCTCTGTATTTGTGTATATAACTTGGTCTTCAATGTGACACCATTGTCAGTAGTCCAATACACAGGCAGTGCCGGATTTACCTATGATAGGCTTGACAGGCTGAAGCTTGGTGCCTCAAGAGAGGCAAGATCTAGGGGTCTATGGTGTATATTTTTAACACTATCATAAACCGTTCTCACACCCGTTATCATTCTCGGCTTCACCCGGGAAAGGCTTCATAAGTGAAATAGCCCAGGGCCCCTCTTCATTTAAATCCGGCACTGGATGCATTAATTCTCATTTGAAATCTTACTAAGTTTTTAAATTTCACATTTGAGATGTATCTGATATTGGGTATCCATTGGTATGAGCCGGTAGACTACCACTTCAGACGCATTTAATCCACCGTTTGTGATGTAGAGTTTACGATTGTGAGCGCACCGCAATGACACACCTCTTGGTCGTTTAAGTCCTCTGTCGGATGTCACTAAGTGTTCTACAAAAGTTCCATCAATATTGAATGAAGATACGCGATCGTTGTAATGGTCGGCAACTATCACGTTCTCATCCTGGTCCACACAGATACCATACGGGAACTTCATCTCCCCGTCCCGCGAGCCATATTTACCGAATTTGTAGAGAAATGTACCGTGATTATCAAATACCTTCACACAATGATTGCCGGAATCCGAAACTAGAATCTTACCACTGTTCGCAACGCACACAAAACGTGGTTGCTTGAAACCACCCCCTAACGATCTCACGCAATGTCCCCCGGGACTGTATAGAAAGACGTCATTGAGTTCTTCATCCGTTACGATATATCGTCCACGTGTGTCCACAGCAATGCCAGTCGGACATTTTAACTGATCTTTTCCAATTTGCGCAATCTCTTCTCCGCACGCCGACCACAGGGCCACGTATTTCTTTCTACGCAACGTAACTGCAACGTAACCCCTCGGTGTTATTGTTGCTGCCCAAGGTTCAGAACATTCTTCTGCCACGAATGATTTTCGTGGTCGACCACTTCGACCATATAGGAGGACCTTATTGTTCAGCATATCAGTGACAAGCGTGGCATCTTTATACACATGCGAAACATTGGTCGCGTTCTGAAGTTCTTCATCCTCTTTGCCCTTTCGTCCATACCGATTAAAAAATTTGACGTGAAATTTCGAATCTTCTTTCTCGTCCCAAATACTATCACAGTCATTGAACTCGAGCTGGTCAACCAACGATTCCACGATAGAATCAGTTCTTTGTATCATGTGTAGAAGATTGGACTGCGAACGAGGTAACATAGGAGAAGACTGGGTGGATGCGGTTGATGTGGTTGATGCAGATGATTCAGACGAGTAGGAATTACGGTCTTCAGAATCTTGTCCTTGGATCACTTGTTGGGTACTTTCCACTTTTTTAACATACACTTTCGGTATAGCCATAGAAATTCTTCTGCTGGATTTCACCATCTTAGGGGATCCTGAAACAATAAAACAAAATGAAATGAAATTGGGTTTAACGTCCTACTTTTTAGCACCGACTTTAAAACTGCGATTTTTTATATACATAAGTTCTCTTTGTTTTTATTGTGCAATTACTACCGTACAAATTTTGCTTATTTGCATACTTCCGGGCTGCCCTTGGGACATATGTTGTTCCATTTTAGGTAAAGGTCCCCTTAGTGACAAAACTTTACCTGGGCGACCAGTAAATTAAAGCAGAGTTCACATATGTCAAATAAACTATACAGTCATTCAAAATAGATTCCCACCAGCTTCTATTTAAGAAGGGTTTGGTTGCCGAATGGTCTAGCGCGTGAACCATAGGCGTACGAGCCAGGGGGGGGGGGCAGGGGGCAGGGGGGCAGCTGCCCCCCTAACTTTCGGGCAAGCTGACTTTTCGGGCAGACGGGAAATAAAGTGAAAAAATTTTTTATTTCGTCTACTTGGCCAAATAAAGTGCCCTAAATCTAATAAATCACTAATTTTACAGACTGGAATATCATAAAACGCTTTTGCGGACGTCAAATCTTCCAAAATTTTCTTGGGTCGTGGGGTGGGGGTGTCCATACAAGGTCAGCTCCGCTTCTTCGTCTCTCGAAGAAAACCGGCGCTGCTGTCTGTAAACCTGAAATTTTTTGGTTCATTTCTAGTTTTGCTTCCCTAACTGTCATCGAGCCCTAATAAAACACTAATTTTACATTTATTTTAATTGAATACCACGAATTTGTACTGAGTTGGCTATGGATTAAAACATTTTGTCTGCAGCCACTCTACTTTGTGCGATATTTTTCAGGCATCGATTATTATTGTGAATGCAGCTGCAACAGTCTGATTGGATGGTTGGAATTCAGACTGGGATTTCGGTTACAAAACCATTGGATACTTTTGGAGTTGCTTACATGGGCTAAAATAGCAGAAAATGCATTTGCGGTGGTTAAATTTTCTCCCAACGGTCCCGTCTACGTGGACTGTAAATGATTGATCTTTTGATTGGAATTTGAGCCAGCCATTTTAATTAGCCTATAATAGACCACTTTGAAGCTGCTTTGTTCACGGGCTGAAATAGCAGGAAAACGTGTTTGCAACAGTCAGATATTCCAAAATTTTCTTGGGGGGGGGGGGGGATCCACACAACTTAAGCTCCGATTCTTCGCCTCTCGTGGAAGACCGCGCCGCTGTCTGTAAACCCGAAATTTTTTCGGGCAATTCGGGTTTCTGCCCCCCCCCCCCCAAACTGTCATCGAGCCCGTACGCCCATGGCGTGAACGTTAGATCATAACGTGGGGTTCCTCCAGGTCCTTTGTTTCCCCCGACTGCTAAACCCCCAGCACAGTTATGTTGGCAGCAAGGAATCGTGATATGACGTATACAATAGCATCGCGAATCAAAACTGTGGCCTTTATTTTGTAGCCTAGAGTGAACATGTCTTAAAATCATATTTACATGTATCTCCAGGAGAATCTCTTAGTTTTCTGAACTCGTAAAATGTTTTACTGTTATATGTAGGTCAGCGTAAGTGACATTAATAGTGATGTTCTTTTCTTTTACATAAAGTTATTCTTTCCATCAATCATAAGACAGATATTTATAATTCATCAACAATCTATTGTATTTTTAGTACTACTCGTGATTAGTAAGATTACATAGTAGTTTTCTAATACAAATACAGAATTCGATTTAACAAAATATCACGCATGTATTTCATGAGCCCTACAGACAGAGAAAATGTAATGCACCAGTATCGATGAGTATGACAAGTCGACTCATATTAGGGCAACACAGTCAGTCGGGGAATAGTGCAGTGCACACAAAAGCATGTTTTAGAGTTCGACTTATTGTAGTAGTTTACTACAGCACGCATGGACGCCTCCCTTAAATGTATCGAAATACGATTATCTAAGCGGTCATTATGAAGCGGATTTATGGTTTGTAACCGTCGATGTTTCGGCCAGTTCAATAAAGTTTAGTGTGCGCCAAGGCAGCCTTAACACTATTTGACGCTTAACACCCAATAATAAATATTTATGCTCATTCTGTTTTAAAATGAATCTTGGACCCCTAACATCTTTGTGGCCCCCGACAACGGCCTACTGTGTGCGACAACTGTCTAATATGTGCGACAACTGTCCAATGTGTACGATGACCTTTACCTATCTTGTTCTTTTTACATCGATATAATTATGTACATGTATACATAATTAATATCGAATAATATAAATAAAGTTCGCTTTACCACACTTTACGTTAACATGTCCCAATACATATCAATTACAAAACATGTCATTTTTTGATTGATAAGTTGGACGGAACATGACATTTCTAACCACAAACACGTTCAACAACGAGAATAGTGTGTATAGTATGGAAGCCTATAACTGCCATTCATAATATCTACTTTTTGCCCCTTCAATACTAGACTCTATCACACAGACCATTTTGTCAACGCGAATTGCGTGTATTTAAATGTGACCTGGAATATAGAGTCTACAACAGTTTCCGAGGCGAAACTCGAAAAGTCGACAGCACGATAGCAAGCCTAAATGATAGGTCGCTAATATCGCGTTGTGTCAATTTTTCTAATTTCTACATTTCGAGTTGCATTTGCGTTTGGTATGCGTAATGGCGACTTCTGACTCACATGAATAAATACAAAAATATGTAAAATATGACTAAGCCGAAAGCCGACATCACGCTACACAAGCCAAAATGCAACTTGAAAAGTAGAAGTCACGACAAAACAAGGAACGCTAATATCGCTGTGTGTTTATTTCTTAATTTCCGATATCCTATTTCGATTTTTGCCTGGCGTGCGAATGTCGCTTAACCTTTTGTCGTAACTTCTACTTTTCGACTTATCAATTTTTGTGTTCTGAAGGGGCGCAAAGTAGAAATTACTAATGGTAGTTGTATGTTTCCATAGTATGGCGATAAGCAATATACAACAAGCGATATATTATAGTTTAGTCTAGTAGTTGTGTCAGTATAATGTCTGACACAATGTTGATCCTATCGTCTTTCACTCATTATAAACAAACGAAGGTCTCCTTTTCCTTAACTTTCTATGACCTTGTCAAATGTATGTAAAATATGCTAAATAGAAAAAAGTCCGAAATCGTATACATTTTTGCTGTTTTTCAAATGACGTAATATGTGGTGTCGACCTAGACTACTGTCGTTTCTGACAAAACATTGGGCAGGTTTTTATATAATGCGGTACAGCAGCACAAAGAATCCATCCGTTTTAGGAGATCTTTGTAAAAATCGAACAAATCAACAAAAACAAGAAGGGGGGGGGGGGTCATCCATTTGCCTAGTTACAGGGTTCAAGAAATCAAAGCTGGGCCTGAGGTGCAAAGCGTGGGATTAGGATATAGAGTGAGATAGGGAGGTTTGCGTGTCCAAATACAACAATCGTAATGACTAGTTTAAGTGAGGTGTGGGAGTGAGGGAGGGTCTCACTACATAAACCCGAAATATCTTTTAATCCACGCAACTGCCAAGACAACTGCATGAGTCAATTGTACTGGATGGATGTGTGCGGATGATGGATATTTCTAGGATGTCGTCTGAGATTCCATAGCACCAATGAAGAACCAAAAGCTGGTATACAAGATGGTGAGTTGTAGAAACCCGTTGGATCCCAGTGAGGTGTATTAGGGGCTCGTTGTAGGGGCGTCGGTGGCTAAGTGAGTGGGACGTTTGCTCGCTAACCTGGAGTTCCTGTGTTCGATTCCTGTGTTGGCCGAGAAAGTTCATCGAGATTTTCCGGCGAGGTTCTCCCTTGTCACTGGTGTGGGACGGAGGGTCTGGCAGGGGACAACTGTTCGGATGGGACGCAAAACCTAGGTCCCGTGTACACATTGGTGTACATGTAAAAGCTCCCTTAGCAGTAGGAATTCGATTCAAGGGTAGGCCATAGGGCCGATATGGCGTATGTCGGTCTTCAGCCATTTCATTTTCTCGTAAAGGAAAGGGTAAGCATCGCCAGATTGTATACGACAACAAACGCTACTATATCATGCTAGCGGGTACTATACTAACACGGTGACTGAACATAATCCATGACATCCTTATCCATGTATTAGCGGGGGAAGTAATTGACAGAACTTAGGCCTGATTGGGTTTGTGGCTTTTCCACAATAATACCTGCATTGAAGTTCAAATTTACAAGACAATACAACACCGATTTCTCCAATACGTCTGCTCAGGTGAATCCATGCGACCTTCACTTCACATCAGACAATGAATAACTTAATGACAAATCAGACAACAGCTCACGACTTACAATTTTTCCGACGACCCAGATCCTTTTGTTGTAATTGTTTAGCCCCGAGATGACCCCTTCTCATCAAACTTAATTCTTTGCAAGTCGTCACTAATTCTATTACCATAATCTGATGATTGTGCAAACATAGACACTAAAAGTTCGGTTATGGTAACCTCGTTATGGTGCATTCAGCCTTTGACCTTTAACTATTTGATATTCCAGTGATTTTCGTAGGAGTTACAGGTAAATGTTAAAATAGTCTACCAGTGGTCATCAACCTCACCGGTATTTATACGACTGAACTGAACAAAATTAGTACCCGCTCAGCATGACAGCCATTCTTTCTATTTCCCGCTTTAGGTAAATAATAAGAGTCAATAAGGAATTAATGAATGGAATAGGGTTTAACGTCCTATTTTTCTGCACCGACCGGGCCTGAACGACTAGACGCCATGTCCTTGACCTCTGCCCTGTACAACTGAAAGCGGGAATCAGGCTGGAAATTCCGAGACACGTTTTCGGCTGACACCCGTATGAAATCAGGATTCTCTGGTTAGTGTACGAGCGCTATAAACAGTGGGTCATACACGGACCATGACTAGATTTAAGTACAAATACAAATGAATAAGAAGTGACACGAAGTCTTTCTGAAAGAGTAAGCATAGTTTTGTGCACGACATTTCTTCAAATTGATGTTATTATGTGGGAAATAATAGAAAGTGTTCCAGATGAATGACAATTATTGTTTGGATTGGATTTCCGGTAAAAATAAAATGCGTCGATGGCTGCTATAAATAATTCATTGAGAAGGTGTGGGGTGGCAAAATTCTTAAAGAGCAATTCGCTCAAGAGTCAACGCGCAATTCCAGTTTTACAAAAACATACAAAACATTTGATGTCCTTTCAAGGTCTAATTTTATGCTGTTTTTTTTATTTTTACTTCACACCAGCCACGAACAATGAGTCATTAAAACTGATGGATGGGTTATAACTGCTTTAAAGTATTACAGTCCACTCAATGATGTAATATATATATAAAAATACAATAATATCAGTGAAAGTAACAATTTGCACTGATCGAAATTTACAGGTGAGTCTTTAAGATTTAAACATGAAATATTTCAACCCATCCCATTATTCGATATCTTCCATTCCTCTGTGACAAAGTGCAATAGATAATATTAACCAGTTTATAACTAACCTGCCAAGAGTTTAATATCTATAGACTCGTATTAAAGAAAAAAGGTGCACTATCCCAAAGAGAATATTATTTTCTATGATTTGTGTAACATTTCGTCTTTTCGCAGCACTATCTATGGAAAAATTGAGAAATAGCCCGATTATTGAGAGAGAGAGAGAGAGAGGGAGAGAGAGATATCTTGGGCAGTGGGAAGAAACCAGACGACCCGGAGAAATCACAAACATTAGGCGGTAGACCGTGCTCCTGATCTAAAGCGCATGCTTGGAGCATTCAGCCCCACCCCTCGATATCCAATGAACAAAAATTGGTATCTTTACCGCCATATTGATAAATACTTTTCATATTGAAAGTGACGGCATCGCCTTCGTCAAACTGGTATCAATACGGTCGATACGGGCAATTCGTTTATATAATAGTGCGATTGATCCTAATGCAATTGGAAAGAACTATTTTACATACATGTATATTATTACCCTGTCCGCATTTGGAATGGACAACTTTTGACCGTGTATTCGCCAAAAGGTGGGAAAAAAGAGAAAAATAATAATTTTGAAATTGTATTCTATTTTTTTTATATATAATACTGAATCCCGATCTCATTATTAAAATCACTTTAGTCACAACGTCGATCCACTAAAATACCCATCATGTGACAAACGACAACCATTGCCTCAGGCAATCATTTTCCGAGCTCAAAATACCATTTCCATGACGTCTTACATTTAATGTGGCTAACTCCATTTTTATGTCTTTGCAAATGTCTAAATTATTAGTCCCCCACAGTTATTATTCACCAACAGTTGCTGGTATGCTTGCTGTTGCACGATCTGTGGCCATGCCACATAACAGAACAATTCAGTTTCTATATCCCCCCACAAAAAAAAACTTTTAATATTACCAGAAACATTGTAATACTAACAAAACAAACCCAACAGAATTGTATGCGATATTTTTCGTAACTAAACCAATTAATTTCCTTAGTCTTGTAAGTTTTATACGAAATAAAGACTCCAAAGTGAAATATCTTTAAATAAAATGAAACCAAATGACAAATTAATAAAATTAAACCATTCCTAGTATTAGAAACAACTGTGAATAGTTAAGATATAAAACACTAACCGTTGGCATCAATATCTGTTATATCCATTTCTATAATTCTATCGCTGATTTCGCTCTCAATGGATTCAATTGAACTTCTTGGCTGTTGTACCCTAGATGTCCGTACTGTCATGGGACCAGCTAGTTCGTCCGTTATATCCACTTCGTTATCAAAATATATCGCTGATTGCCGACTTCGTTTTTCTCGCCTCATGATCGATATTTTACTGTTCAAACTTTCTTTTACCGCGCATTTATATAGCACACCTTTGGTCCGCAATCAGGAACAAAATATACACCCTCTTCTCCAATTGGAATGCTCGGATTATCTGGAAACTGTCACGTGGTATTGTTACAGTAACGCTGTTGGTAAAAGAATACTAGAGTCCAGACCACCGTGCAATCAATTTGTTGTCACCTAAAGTAAAGAGAAACAAAACAGTTAACATTAGGCTACAGCCCACTAAAGTTCGAGGAAGGGAAGTCCATTCAATAGACTATTGTTTGACGTTCTTAAAGCCTGTGGACGCCATGACCCATGACCTTCGTTCCTCACTTACCTCATCCACGAACGTTAAAATGTCAGTATTGCAACTCACTGTTTAAATGAATAACAAATTCGTGACAAACTAAGCTATTATTGAATCATTTACTGGGTTATAATTTATGACGATACTTTTTTCGTGTCTATATTCAATAACACATAAACAATCCCATTCTTTTTAGGCATTTTTATCAGCTATTAAAACAAGATGTATAAAAAATGATTGATAGCTCATTCATATATGTATGTATTATATAGTATAAGTAATTACAATTATTACTATGATGAATTATAGCCATTTCGTAAATACATCTTACTTTAATAAGCGTGTGTATTGATAGGTGATCATCATATTTTAGAAATATTAAACATACATAATGCAAGAGCCAAATCTACCTATTTCAGGCCTTTCTTTGGGCCTGAAATGTTATCTAAATTATCAATTAGACATTAATTAATTTATTAACATAATCAACTCTCGATGGCATCGCTAGCCTGTGATATGTACTGGATTAGGAACCGATTTGCTGCTCAACTTTCATTCCTAATTTAATCATGAAATGGATAATCGAGACTATGTTTTATCGTACCAACTTTAGTAATGAAGATCGAGGCTAGGCCAAAAATTCAATCGCTAAAATCTCGGTTCATAGTGGTTCAATTTGACTGACATTTTCAGCAAATTCCATTTACATTATCTAGTTTTTAACTATTAAAGTGAGAACTGCTAGCTCTTTATCTAATCACCCATAATGTATCTTTAAGACGCTATAGGTTACACCGCTATTAGCAAAGGGTATGATTCTTTGAAATGTTAAAACTCTAATGTTGGTGTCTAGTTGACAAGTAAAGTGAAAATACCACATATTATTAGAGTTCAACAATGGATGTTAGATAATTTTATTCTAAATAATTAAGAAAAAAATCCTTTAAAACTAAGAAATTCGCAATCCATTTCATAAAATAAACGTGCAATGTTCCCATAACGTGCAGTGATCAACCTGAAATGTGCAGTGATCCACCTGACATGTGCAGTGATCTGTAGTATTTGTTCTTTTTAATGTTTTTTCCCAAAGGATACCGTAATAAAGTGTAATCGCTCACTGTCTTGTACAACTGGATAATACATACAACCAAGCCGTAAGTGATAAAAGTAATCATGAATCGAGAGAATTTGTATGTGCCGGAGCAAGGCAAATTATGGGCCCCCCTGCCACACCTGTGCAGATAGGGTTTTTAACTTTACTCTTGCATAGCCAGAGTTTCTAACATGACCCCAGCATAGCTGGAGTTTCTAACTTGAACGCTGGCCTGAGTAGAGTATAAGATTAGGGTCCCTGCGGCACCAATATCCACCATGCCGACGTAGAAATAAATAAATCGATATTTATAGGCCTCATGTGGATTCATGGGCCCAAGGGTGATGTACCGGCTGCATCCCCTCTCCCTGGGCCTGGATTATTATAATATACCTGAAGAGCCCCGGGGAAGAATGATCTAAGTCACTTTTTCAATGAACCCCTGTTAATGGCGCCATCTGGTAGCAAATTGTATAAGCTTTCTGTGGAACAATCAATTTCAGGTAAAAACGATCGGAGTCACCAAAGCCCTTCTGAAATGGCCTCCCGGAAAAAAAAAAACAAGCCCGTCGTATTTATTTGACCTTAATTTGGCCGAAAAGTGGAAGTCAGGTGTTGTACTGGAATTATGACTCGTATTAAACATCATTTTGAAGTTGTAATTAAACCCACTCGTTGTTCTGTTCGCGTCAAGCATTCTCGTCCAAAAGTCTCTCTTGCCTTTTATGTGAAAAGACAAAAATGTGACTTAGATCGTTCTTCCCCTGGACTCTTCGCCATACTCGGAGGATCCAGTCACGACGTGGACATGTTATGCACAAGTTGTACAGGGATCAAATTTTATTATTTTATACTTCCAAAATCACTCAACTAAACCTTTTTGATTTATGTAAAAATATAGTGTTGACTTGGGTTTGTCTTAAATTTTAATTCGATTAAAGATTGGACAACATCTAACCGTTCTAGTTTTTCATTTCGAAATATTAAGTGGAAGTCAGTTTGCCTACTAATTTTATCAGTTGGTTGAAAATAAACAATTCCGGTGCGCCATTAGCGGTGTATACTGTAAACACGTGAGGACGTAAAGCGTTCATTGACGCAAATCCGTTTCATTCAGGAGTTCGTTCAACAGACTGAAAAGAATAAGAATTAATTCTCGTGGACACAAAACTTCATCCTCAATTTTAAACGCATAGAACTGTTACTTTTTTTCTATCAAAGGTCAATTCAATGCGGGACATTGTGGAGACGTGGAGAATTGAAGCAGTATACTCATCTTCATTAGTCCGGTTGGTGCGGAAAAGTAGGACGTTAAACGCTAATTCATTTAATTAACATAATAGCGTCTACGTTAAGATTTGTGGTTGTCAAAAAATCGGTGACTGAGTGGGTAGGGTGCTAGCTCTCTAATCAGGTCCCAAATTCGATTTCGATAAAGAGTAAGAAAGTGGTGCCGGTCGGCGGGGGGGGGGGGGGCAAGATACAGCGACTAGTGGTATGTCACATGTCGACGTGCAGCTAAAAGATCCTTTGACTGTGTGTTGGGTTTCATGAAGGTTGGGCGGATATCTCCCCAAGAGCGTATTGCATGGGTGCAGAAAAGTTGTACGTTAAACTCCATTTCATTTCCCTTAAAAAAATGCTCTACAAGTATGTCGAAAAATATGCATCTTTTTACTTATAATCGTATCGTATGCATAAATATCGTATGTGGTGGTATTTGGTTGCATTTAGTTGGTATTGGGTGGTATTAGGTATCATTGGGTAAATCGTCCTATCCCCTACCGTCTAATTAGATTGATATGTTGTGCACTTGAATCTCAAAGAAATACATCTTTAAAGGACATGTTTTTCAAAAAATGATTTCATGTAATTAAATTATAGTCACGGTTTATTTTTTAACATTCATATCCAATGGCATTGTCATTAGTTAATCAAACGTATCGCGCGGGTTAGTGCTAAATGATAATGCCGGCTCAATGTTTCGTCCTAGGTCACGAGATGTAAACAGGGCTAGCGCTAATCCCAACCCTAATCCTGAAACTAGCCCTAATGCTTAAACCTAACCTACAATCTCACCAACAATCACGTGCCCTAGCCTTATTTACACCTCAACAACTTAGACCTATGAGGGGGCGGGGTCCAGAAAGAAAGGGTGAGTAAGCGTATCTCCCGCCCCCCTCCCACCACACACACCCTGAAATTTTGAAAAAAACTGACTGTAAATGTTGCTTTCCTGAGTATATCTAGATGTCTCTAGCTTATGCACGAATTTAGCATGTAGCAATCTTACCGAGTCATTAACAAAAGACGTATATCCGAAACTAGAAGAGCCCTCAAACTAGTGATAATATTAACTTCTTAAGGGACCATCGAGCCTACCTATACTTGCTGGTTTCTACTCCGATCCACCACGCGGTAGATGACAAGCTAATGAGGGGATGTACTACCGATGGATATTGATGAGCCTCGGGAGGCGTTGAAAACAGGTTCCCCAATGTCCCGTGGACGCTTCGGGAGCGTAGCGAGCCCTGTGGAACCATTGGGGGGGGGGGGAATTCGTTTATTTCCACATCGCCGATGACTTTTTCCCAGTTGGACCTAGGCATAAGAGATCAGTAAGCTAAATTTCCAAATGTGAGATCATATACAGACCAAATATCATTGAATAGTCCCTAGGATGACAGTCCCCACTGACTACAAAATTTGCGTATTTCATGATAGCTTTCCATATGGTGAACATACTAACAGTTTGGAAAACACAAAGACATTATGGCCAACCCGATTAGAATGTTAGCTCATTGTACATCACGGATATTCCCGGACTTTTACCACAGACAAGTGACGTCCCCCGGGAATTCGGTGGATGTTAACTCGAAAGCCAGAAGTCTATAATTTTGCAGTTGATGATGCACTCTGAAGTCACACTCATCAACGAGTGCGTGTCAAACATATTGCGCGTGGTTCAGATATGCTACAAATCGACATAAATATTTGGTTTTTGCACCCCACCCCCTCCAACAACACAAGATCTTATTCCTCGCGCAAAATAATGGGTCACCAGGCTCCAGCCAGTCACATCGTAACACAATTTCAGATTAATGCCCTTTTAAGTGTCTCGAAAAAAGTCTCGATACTGGTAAAAGAGTGAACGTGACAACCTTTATAGTTTTCTCCGGACGACTTAGCGTCTGTGATTGTATTTTTGTTTTCTGGCAACCAACCTTTTCCACCGCCAGGAATCTTGTGTATCTTGGAAGAACGTTAGAAATATCGCAATGCCTGTCTGCAGATCCGCACCTTTAATACGGTACAGATGGGTGTTGCAATGCTTCCAGACTTAGACTTTCAAGTATTCTGTAAGATATGTAATTCCCTATTATCCAGACGCCAATATCTCTCGCAAAAAAATAGGCCTGGGAATTTTCTTTTAAATAATTTGTTGGATATAACACTTGTAAATTTGAGTCATTTTGTCTAAAGTATAGAATAATATGCTAGGCCCCATATTCCAGGCCTTGAAAATATATTTTTCAAAATAGTCAGATCACGAGGCTTGACACTTAAAACCTTTGATAAAAATCTATTCAATATCTTTTTGTTGGTTTATAGCGTTATCTCATTTGAATAATTAGTCACATAATCTTATTGAAAATATAACCTATTTTTGATTATAAAATGATAGAGAATAGAGAATCTGATCGAAGTCTGGCCGAGAAAGTTCATCGGGATGTTCCGACGTCGTTTCCCCTTGTCAGTGTTGCAGGATGGAGGGCCTGGCAAGGACAGCTGTCT